CGCCCGCGACCCCGCTGAGCCCGGGGGGAAACTGAGGCAGGGAGTCTGGAGAATGCTCCGAGATCGTGAGGGGAAGCTGAGGCAGGCAGTGCCCAAATCCGTGAGGGGAAACTGAGGCAGGGAGCGCCCAAATCCGTGAGGGGAAACTGAGGCAGGGAGTCTGGAGAATGCTCCGAGATCGTGAGGGGAAGCTGAGGCAGGCAGTGCCCAAATCCGTGAGGGGAAACTGAGGCAGGGAGCGCCCAAATCCGTGAGGGGAAACTGAGGCAGGGAGTCTGGAGAATGCTCCGAGATCGTGAGGGGAAGCTGAGGCAGGCAGTGCCCAAATCCGTGAGGGGAAACTGAGGCAGGGAGCGCCCAAATCCGTGAGGGGAAACTGAGGCAGGGAGTCTGGAGAATGCTCCGAGATCGTGAGGGGAAACTGAGGCAGGCAGTGCCCAAATCCGTGAGGGGAAACTGAGGCAGGGAGCGCCCAAATCCGTGAGGGGAAACTGAGGCAGGGAGCGCCCAAATCCGTGAGGGGAAACTGAGGCAGGGAGCGCCCAAATCCGTGAGGGGAAACTGAGGCAGGGAGCGCCCAAATCCGTGAGGGGAAACTGAGGCAGGGAGCGCCCAAATCCGTGAGGGGAAACTGAGGCAGGGAGCGCCCAAATCCGTGAGGGGAAACTGAGGCAGGGAGCGCCCAAATCCGTGAGGGGAAACTGAGGCAGGGAGCGCCCAAATCCGTGAGGGGAAACTGAGGCAGGGAGCGCCCAAATCCGTGAGGGGAAACTGAGGCAGGGAGTGCCCGAACTGTGAGGGGAAACTGAGGCAGGGAGTCTGGAGAATCCCCCAGAACCATGAGGGGAAACTGAGGCAGGCAGTGCCCAAATCCGTGAAGGGAAACTGAGGCAGGGAGTGCCCAGACTGTGGGGGAAACTGAGGCACGGAGTGCCCAGACTTGGGGGGAAACTGAGGCAGGGAGTGCCGGAACTGCAGGGGGAAACTGAGGCAGGGAGTGCTGGAACTGCGGGGGGAAACTGAGGCACGGAGTGCCGGAACTGCGGGGGGAAACTGAGGCAGGGAGTGCCCAGACTGTGGGGGAAACTGAGGCACGGAGTGCCCAGACTTGGGGGGAAACTGAGGCAGGGAGTGCCGGAACTGCAGGGGGAAACTGAGGCAGGGAGTGCTGGAACTGCGGGGGGAAACTGAGGCACGGAGTGCCGGAACTGCGGGGGGAAACTGAGGCAGGGAGTGCCCAGACTGTGGGGGAAACTGAGGCACGGAGTGCCCAGACTTGGGGGGAAACTGAGGCAGGGAGTGCCGGAACTGCAGGGGGAAACTGAGGCAGGGAGTGCTGGAACTGCGGGGGGAAACTGAGGCACGGAGTGCCGGAACTGCGGGGGGAAACTGAGGCAGGGAGTGCCCAGACTGTGGGGGAAACTGAGGCACGGAGTGCCCAGACTTGGGGGGAAACTGAGGCAGGGAGTGCCGGAACTGCAGGGGGAAACTGAGGCAGGGAGTGCTGGAACTGCGGGGGGAAACTGAGGCACGGAGTGCCGGAACTGCGGGGGGAAACTGAGGCAGGGAGTGCCCAGACTGTGGGGGAAACTGAGGCACGGAGTGCCCAGACTTGGGGGGAAACTGAGGCAGGGAGTGCCGGAACTGCAGGGGGAAACTGAGGCAGGGAGTGCTGGAACTGCGGGGGGAAACTGAGGCACGGAGTGCCGGAACTGTGGGGGGAAACTGAGGCAGGGAGTCTGGAGAATCCCCCAGAACTGACAGGGGAAACTGAGGCAGGGAGTGCCCAGACTGTGGGGGGAAACTGAGGCAGGGAGTCTGGAGAATCCCCCAGAACTGACAGGGGAAACTGAGGCAGGGAGTGCCCAGACTGTGGGGGGAAACTGAGGCAGGGAGTCTGGAGAATTCCTGAAAACCAACAGGGGAAACTGGGGCAGGGAGCGCCCAAATCCGTGAGGGGAAACTGAGGCAGGGAGTCTGGAGAATGCTCCGAGATCGTGAGGGGAAACTGAGGCAGGCAGTGCCCAAATCCGTGAGGGGAAACTGAGGCAGGGAGCGCCCAAATCCGTGAGGGGAAACTGAGGCAGGCAGTGCCCAAATCCGTGAGGGGAAACTGAGGCAGGGAGTCTGGAGAATCCTCCGGGAAAATGAGGGCAGGCTGAGGCAGGCAGTGCCCAA